GGTGTGTCCTGCTTTTGGGGTATCGATGAGGAGACTATCCGCTTTGACACCCGTTCGGCGGCCTCCAGGCGGTGGAGGTATGATGACGCTATGGGCATCGTGAACGTAGCCTCCCATCAGAAGGATCGTGTTGCTCAAGCTGCTCTATTATGAACGTAACCTTGGAACGCAGCACTTTGTGAGAGCACATGAAGAAATTGAGATGATAGCAACATCCGAGATGAGCAGTCGTGATAGTAGTTAGGCCACGCATTTTAACCTCGGCAAAATCGACAAGACGGCAAGAGTGGATCTCTCAGCCACCGCGTGAAGTACGTACCTCGCGCGGTAATGTCAAGAACGGAACACAATATTGCGAGCGACAGAAGACAAGGGCAGGAGAACCAGTGTTGGCCCATCATCGGTGTTGGTTAGATCCCTTTGGCAGACAGCACATTCCACGGCCCGCAAGCCGATCCGTCTTCCCGGAATCCGCATCTCCTCCAACGGCTCTGCAGGCACGCCCAATACACATCGCTTAGCATGTCTTAGACAACGAGCAGCCCGAGGCAACGTATACAGCGCTATGCAGTCATCAAATCTCCAAACCCAACGTTCCGTCGGAGCAAGCTAGGCCGCAAGACGACGGAACCGCGGGCCTGCTTCCAATCCACGGGATACGTATCCCACCACCACACGCAGACCCACCAAGCTTTCTCAACAGCACGCACGTTTATGAAGCTGCCTTTCTATTCTAGATAGGGCTTTCGCGGACAAGCGGCCTTGAACTACTGTTCTGGATAAGCCAAGGTGGGCTGAATAGGCTGAAAGGGTGTGTGCTCCCCGCTGCCAGGTGCTTGATATTGCTGCCGCGTGAGGCGCCACCAACGCGGATAGAATAGATATAAGAAGCGGCTTGTCTGTACGATACAGTCCAGACCCTGTGTTTGCGCTTCCAGAAAAGTTCAGATTTACATCATGCCGTCAACTAAGAGCAAGAACATCATCATCACCGGCGGTGCGCGAGGCATCGGCCGCTGCACAGCACGACATTTGCTTTCGTTACCGGCATCGCATCGTGTATTCATCATCGATTTCGACAAAGACGAACTGGATTACGCTGTAAACACACATCTGGCCTCCTACGCACCACGCGTCAGCTCTTCGATAACCAACCTCCGCAATCCAGAGGAGATCCGCAGCGCAGTTGCCAAAGCCGCGGAGTTCTTCGGCGGTCGCATAGATGTCCTTGTCAACAATGCAGGTGTAGCACGAGGCTTCTTCAACGCAGGAAATGGGACCATGGAAGATGTCGCTACGGGAGAGCAATGGGAACAGTACATTGCTACTAATCTCAGCGCCCCCTTCTATATGAGCCAAGCCGTCATTCCCTTCATGAAGAGCAAGAACACGCAGAAAGATGGTGCGGCGGGTGTTGATCGGACGAAAGATTTGAAGCGTACGGACGAGTTCAATCAGTTGCCGCTGAATCTCCATGGCGATGACAAATTCGACGAAGGAGGCTGCATCATCAACGTTGCTTCTTTCCGCGCTCATCAGTCGGACCCGGATTGCGAAGGCTATGCTGCGAGCAAGGGCGGTGTACTGGCTCTTACACAGGCCATGTCTGTCTCGTGCCAACGCTGGGGAATCCGTGTTATGGCGATCTCGCCGGGCTGGGTCAGCGTGCAGCACGAGTGCAAAGCTTATGATCTGCAGATCAAAGAGACGCAAAACGGATCGTACAAAGAGATTGCACCTCATGAGGAGGAAGCGATGAAGCTGAGGATGAAGGCCTGGGCGGACGACCTGGACGAGCTTTACCACAAGCAACATCCAGCCGGCAGAGTGGGCAGAGGAGAAGATCTCGCTGAGATGGTCGAGTACGTCATGGGTGCGGGTTTCTTGAGTGGACAGGAGTTGATTCTGGATGGTGGTGCGAACCGGAGAAAGAACCCCAATATCTGAGAAGTCTGTAGGATCAACAAATAGATGAGCGAAGCCAACTCGTCGCTATGCATGTGCAGCAAATGCTTGTATCCTGTCTGGTACTCCACCAACGCCATGCTCGCGGTCGTGTCATAAAATCAACGCCAAAATAAGCAAGAAGCAACTCTAGGAGAGGAAACAAGAACGCTGGGGTAATCTGTTGTATCCCAACTGGAAACCTAATCACTTGAAGAGAACTTCAACCATACACTTGTCATCAAGATCGCAGTCTTCCACAGTATCCATGGGCATTAGCCGCTCACCGTCAAACATAAGCGTGATTGGCTGACTTTTATCGATCTTTTGGCTGTTCTTGTAGGCACTTGCGATGTGGGCGACGGTGGTCTCCTAATGATTAGTTAGCATTTGGACAAGGCTGATGAGGTATGGCGTCGCACTTTTGTGCACACTCCAAAGGGACAGTCTACACATACCTGTTTGACTGTCAACCTGAACTCGGGTTTACCCTTCGCCTTGAGGATCAACCTGACCCGGTTGGAAGCGGGTTCAGGCTCGGGCTCTGGTGTTGGAGTCTTTTCTTTTGCCACGGCAGGTGTTGCGGCGGCGATCTTTCTCGCCTCAGCTGCCGCAGCCTCATCCCTCTTCCACTGCCTGTAGATCTCCTCTGTCCACGCTTCGACATGAATCTTGGGGAGGTTGACGTCGTCGTAAATGTTAGAGTCTCCTTCGACGGATAGGTTGCCGTTTTCCACCTTTATTCCTAAGCGCTGTATCGATGTGCTATCGAAGAGGCGTGCGCCCTTCCATGTGAAGAAGACGTTGCGTGTTGTTTCAGGCGAGAACTTCTCTTTCTGACACCATGCCAGCCGTGGCTTCTCGATGGTGCTGTCTATCCTGACCTTGACCATCAACGGATTTGCGCCGGGTATTTGTGGGTCGATGAAGAGCTGCGTTATGGGTGCTTTCGGAGCGTCGCCGTTTGATGCTGCTGCGGCTTGCGCCTTGGCCGCTGCAACGCGCGCTCGTGCCCTGGCCTGCAATGCAGCTATTGTAGGATCCAGGCCTTCCTCATCTTCCTCGTCGTCGTCGTCATCCTTGATCTCTATAGGAGGTGGCTTCGATGGTCGAACGGCTATGGGCTGTTTGTCATTGGATCTCGGTGGTTTGTAGTCCAACTCAGACTTGTCGTTGTGCGGCTTGGAAACATAGCCCGAGTCGTCGTCCAGGTCTGAATCGCCTAGGTCAATGACGGAAGACGTCTGTTGTGGCAATGAAACACTCGAGGAGGCAGATTTGGTGAGGGAGTCGTACCGGGCCGTGAGCGAGTCCGGCGGCGGATGCGAGGGCGCGGGAGAGGGGGATACTTTGCTGCGCCTGGGCTATTGTTAGTACTAATATTGCCATGTAGGGCCTGATGCGTACACTTTGCTGGCGGTCCTACTCGCCCGTTCTCTGCTGGCCGAGCTACTTTTGGTCGGCACGGGCTCTTCGGTGTCGTCTGATATGCGACGGCGCTTCTGGTCGCGCGGCTCAGAGTGTTTGCGCTTCCTGGCGGCCTCGGCCTGCTTCTTCTCTTCTGCGCGGATCCTCGCTTGCTCGGCGACTATGTCATTGAACTCGTTGGAGTGGCTGAACATGTCCTCGCCATCTTTCTTGGGCGCATCCTGCCATGCCGCCCGCTTGAACAGGCTGCGTTTCTTGGGTGGTGCGACGCTTGCGGGTGTGTCGGTCATGGTTCGGGCGGTGCCATGGGCGGTCTGAGTGGGCGGAGGAGGTGTCGTGCTACCCCAGGGTAGTGTGTAGGAAAGGGCAACCTTGGAAGGCCGCTGTCGGGGCAGGCGCGGGTTGGTGCAGGTGGGGCCTCAACGCGCGCAGTCACGCTTCTCGCGATGAGGAAGAGACTTGGCCCGTGCACTCTGCCTTTCCACACGACCCAGCATCGCCATCTCTCACGTCCGCATCATCGGCGACCGACTTCAAGAAATATCTGCTTACGCCTACTTAAGCATCAACGTAAGATCTATCTAGACGCGTCGTAATAAGTTGCTGATTGTTTGCTAGAAAATTCGGCATCACCACCACCCTCATCACCATGTCCACCAACGGTGAAAGCCCAGCACCCGAAGCCGCCGGTGACTCTAGAGATCCTAGCGGCTTCCTCAGTGAAATTATCGGAGCTCCCGTCACCGTCAAGCTGAACTCTGGTATCATCTACAAAGGTAGCCCTTGACGTGCCTATGATGCACATCAATTACTAATCTCCATGTAGGCGACCTTCAGTCAGTAGATGGCTACATGAACATTGCACTGGAGCGATGCAAGGAGGTGTCTGAGGGACGCGTCACCCGGAATTGGGGAGATGCTTTCGTCCGTGGTAACAATGGTATCCAACACACCACTTTGCTCTTCACTTCGCTTCGTACTAACGGACGTGCAGTCACATACATCTGCGCAGACAAGGCATGAAGAGCCGCAGCTTTCCAGTCTAAAGGCAGGGTGTACGCGGCGATAAGCCACACGTGATGATCGATGACCCGTATCTTACACATACCTAGGTACTCAGCGCCAATAGGAGCTTGGACGACTGTCATGAGGTATACACCTGACGCTTCCACGAATGATCCAATATCAAAGCTGATTGTCGGGTGGTGCAAGTGACAGTCACGCAAACTTCTGAACTGCCCTTAAGTAACTGAGCGCCGTCCTCTGTATCAACTCACCGTCACCTCCACCCCAACATGGTCAACAGTGAAGACTATATACGTATTCCTCTCATTCCCGCTCTCCTTCACCATGTCGTCACTGTCTCCTAAATTTGCAATCCCTGTCCAACGACTGGTTCACCTAGACTTTGAGCTGTCGCGACGCGCACTGCGCTGTTGGACCCTGCAAACATTGTGGACTTTTCTACGCGCAGCTACTGTTAGCATACACAACAACAAGCCGCGCCTCTACGTCCGATTTTGAATTGCTCTTTACAGGTCTCACGCATTGTCGCACCCGCATCGCTCGTGCTATGATTGGCAGGCACTAACCTTCTAATCTCATTCAACCCAGCTGCACGTATTGCGATGACTGTCCCGAAAGTCAAGTCTCGCGTGCAGCTCCGTAGCCAGGCGAAGCAGCGTCGAACCAACAAGAAGCACCACGTCGAGAAGCCGAAAGCCAAACAAACAAACAACGATGCGCAGAGCCCTACAAAAGCACCAAAAGGTAGACATCGTTACTTCAAACGGTATATCAACCAGATGAATCCGCTGACTGGTTCAGTGTATACGTCTTCTGCTGGATCCAACGACCCGATGTATGACGACAATAGCAACCCTGTTGACGATAACGGATCGTCCTTCGCCAGGCGCCATGTACTAACTACTGACGATCAAGAGTCTGCCGGCGCCTTCAAAAGCGGTCTTCGAACCGTACTAATACGCGACAGAGCCCCTGTTACCACGGACAGTTCAGAAGCAACCGATGGCGCTGCGGATGAGCACGATCACAAGACGAGCGGTACCTGCGAGAGCGAATATCGAAATGAATCAGAAGATGATGGTGCCTCTGCTGTCCCATGCAGTTCCGGCGCGCCAGGGGATTTCACAGACGAGGATGACGACCCGCCCGCCTCTCTTTTGAACCTGGCGCCACTTTGGTATCCTCAGTCAGACTGGTCTTGGCCAGACACTCTGCCAGCGGCAACGGAAACTACATTAGATGACTCTCCTGTCGCCGAACATGCTACAGCGGACCCTTCCCAAGTTTCAGAGGAGACTACAGCAGATGGATCATCGGGAGCGGCAGTTGCTGCACCAAACTCACCGTCGACAAGGCCAGATACGACGGTCGCAGTAGCATCAACAGTAGTTACAGCAAACCCAGCATCAGCGGCAACAACCACTACGGCAGACCCATCTTTAGTGTCGACAGTTGCTCCAGCAATTTTGACTCCAGTTGTAGCCGTTACTGCAACAGATTGTACTCCAGCGGTAGCCGTCACTGCATCAACTTTGGCTCAGGTATCATCGGTAAGCTCAACAAAGCCCTCTCTTGGAGTATGGCACAAATGGGTCGTCGAACTTTTTGCCGGGCGCAAACCAGTCTCGCCTAAGAATGACGATGTCAGCAATACACCACCGCCCGTCTCGATCATATCCTGGACTAGAGAGGACCGCGACACTGACGCAGCGCTTCCATTGCCTTCCCAACCCCACCTTGAATTGAGATATCTCATCCCTGCGACCTTTGACAAGCGGATGAGACTGAACTATCATTCCAACATTCATCCCGCGCCCCAACATGACTCTGTCGGCAAGGTCGCGACCCATGAAGACGCATCCCCCACGAACAACGTACAGCGCGGCTTCGTCGTAGCAAACCGGCCTGCTTCAGCCCCATCTCCACCACGCCGCGACATTGATCATTACAGCAGTCTGCTAGCTCGTGACGACACCAACTGGGCGGAGTGGAACAAGCTGAATATTACTGCAGACGCCATGCCCTTCACACGGTCGCAGTCGGACACCCAATTCCTGCATCCTCAGACCGGAATGAAGATGGCACGGGCAAACGGTCACCTGACCAAGAGCCAGACTGGTCATGCCTTCCTAGAAGATGCCGGCCACCGGTATCCGTTTGGCCAGGGACCGGGCTGGTAGTTACTGAGCAGTCAAGACATCGCTTAAACCGACTGAACACTTGGATACGTCCACCCAGTGACGAAATCTGGGACTGCATCACTTCCTCAACGACTTGTATAACAAAAGTACGTATCACATCCTCCAGCGCAGCAACTAAAGCTAACGGCTGAGATCTAGACTGCTTCTTTTCTTCCCTTTTTCTGGTCTTGCGTCTGCAGCATTGGAGCGCGACTATTGTCCGCGCGAATGGCGTCTGCAGTATTGCCGTGTCGGCATGGCTAGGTGCAGCTTTGCTCCACATCCAACGTGTGACGTGGTCCGAATTGGAATGCCCTTAGCTACCGGCGGCGCATACTAGGCGCGTCATTAATCGGGCCGAGGACCGGCAGTGCTAGGAGGTGCTTTTCTTTTATCAGGGCTGCCCGGGGCGCTAGTAGGCGAGTTGTCGCTGAAAACGGTCGCGGTATTGGGATGGGTGGCGTTCAGCGGTTAGATCGTGTCTTTTTTGCTTTCTTTCTGGGAGATACCCGGCGTTCAATGTATGGATTTCAGAAGTTGGTGTATCATGATATGCAAAGTGATGTTATGAGCGATGTGAGTGCGAGCATCGCCCCGGCTGGCGAGCAGATCAATGTAGCAGTAGGCGTCATGATGATAAGGTGGCGTGTATTCATGTGTAGCAGTCGTTGTATCATGTACTCGTCTAGGAAATTCGTGCAGTCAGAAGAAAAGAAAGGAAAATAACGCCATTCCCGCATCGTCCGTTACGTCATTGCTCTGCATATCCAGCAGCGAGCATCAACGTTGAATCATCCCATGTACCTCCTTCTCTAGTTCGCTTCCCTGATCGGAGTGAAGACGACCTTAGCACTAGGCTTAGGCAAGATAGTCGACCGCCAAGTGAAGAGGCGCTTCGCAGTCGGGTTGACAAGCTCACAGTCGTAGTTCAAGATGACTTGTCCGAGGATGACCTTCATGACAGCTGAGGCGTAGAACCTGCCGGGGCTATAACGAACCGTTAGCAGTGTCTTCGGTAACAACAACCGAGATATAGCAAGAGACTTACCAAGCCATTCTGCCCGTTCCCCAGACGTGGAATGTCATGTCAAAGTCCGTCAGTTTGGTTGGCTTCTTCTGCATAATGTCGAAAGCGCCATCAGCATTCTCCAGGCTCTTGACGAGTTGCGGGTCAGCAAAGCGGAAACCGCTGAATGTCGTTGCTTCGGGGTAATCGACGGGGTTCGTCATGATGGCGCGGACGGGTGTGCAGAACCAATCTCCAATGTTGACGTGGGTACCGTCCTTGAGAGAGAAGGGTTGGAGCGCTGAGCGACGTGTGCTTTGCGACTCAACGGGTGTCAAGCGCGCAGATTCCTTGATGAAGCTGTCGAGAAGCGGAAGTCCAACACCGCTTTGCTCAAATGCGGCGTATTGGGACTCGCACTCCCTTCGTAGGGGTTCTACGTACTCAGGATGGAGGCAGAGGTCGTGGATGGCGAAAGTTACGGTTGTGGAGACGGCGTGCACGGAGCCAAACCAGATGGCCATCAGCTCGTGGACGACACGCTGAGGTGTCCAGGGCGCGTTCTTGGGTGATGTCTCCATGATCCATTGGATGCAGTCGGCGTGTTGGGGCACTTTCTGGCCTAGCTTGGCTGCGTCTCGCTCGATGCATCGTTCTTCGGCAATGGGCAGAAGCCTGTTGAAGATGACAGCGTGTGACTTGAGTGTGCGAGCGATGATGCCGCCGACGATGCTGTACGAATTAGTAACGAGGGCTGATGTGACTCGGCAATAGCACTTACGGGGTCATGAACCCGGGTAGCAGGCGAACGATCTCAGCGCAGATCAAAGTCTCCTCGATGTATGCGAGCGCGGAGACCATGAACTGCTCATCCTTTGCTGCCTTCGGTCAGTCATGCACGAAGCAATGAGCGAAGTGCATGGCACGAGACTTACCCAGATCCTTTCCAAAGAAAGATACTGCATTCGACAAGACGACCAACTTCACAGTCATGTGGTACACATCCGACTGCTTCTTTCCTATTGGTCACTCTCAGCAGAGTTACATAGATCAAGGCTTGGCGCTGTATTACCGTTGATCACTGGGTGTCCAGCATGTAGCTCCTGGAACCTGGTGCGGATGATGCAAGTAAGGTCAGGAAGGATCTTAGGCAAGTTATTGGTCAGAAGTGTGCGAAGAGCGCGGATGAAACCGACACCCTCAGTACCACGTCGATCAAACCAGTTGAAGCCGTGCCTGCGATTTGTTAGTAGACTGAATGCACAATGACTGCCACCGAGAAGCGCGAAGGTCGTCCTACATAGTGTAGAGGGGCTGTAGCATCTACATTTTGTCAATACTCGCCAAACAAACGAAAGTTGCCGAAGAGCTCACCTGCTTTGACGCTGCCTGAAGTGACAGCACCGTATCTGGCGCATTGTCTAGCTCCTTGATCTGCTGAGGGTCGGAGACAAAGACATAGCGGTTATCCGGGGCGAAGAGCTCGAATGGTTTCCCTTTCGCCTCATCAAACGCTTTCTGGATGATTTCAGGGCCCCAGAAGAGATATGCCCATGCCTGGTACCGCTTGGTGATAGGCTTGAAGATGGTCTTCAAGATCCTTGATGGAGAAGAAGCCTGGAGAACAGGTCGGTCAGTGTGCACTCATAATGCATACGGAGGATGTGCATCCGGTACGTACCAGCTTCTTCGCAACCAAAGCCTTGTAACAAAAGAAAATCGATATCAAACCGAAGATGCTGCTCGCAGCATTGACCGCCAATGGGCTGAGCGCTGGCAAATGTACGCTCTGCATCTCTAAAAAGTCCATGATGGCAGTAAAGTTTGGTTACGAAGTAAGACCTTAGATTGGGCTAATAGGCGCGGGGTGTCAAGCATTGGTACATATAGAAAGTTACCATATCGACGTTGCTCTAGCTACAGGTTCTGCTGCGCGGACGCGCCGGTTGGAACGACTCGTTACATTACGTCTAAGCTTCTATGCAAGTGAACTAAAGTCATTGTTGGCTAGCTGAACTGTGCCACTGCACTGCAGCACGATCGGATCAATGTCAGGCCATCTGCATGCTACACAAGCTGCGTCGCTTGATGGACGCTCTCACCTATCGTGTGTTCCGCGGTCGATGAAAGGACGAGCAACCCACCCTTCTCTAGCGCTATCACAACGTCTGCTGTCCTAGAAAGTAAGTAGACCCGATGCAACTACCACGCAGAACACGAAGCGCCTCGTCCGTCATGCTGGAAAGATCAACGGTCCGATCCATAAGGGTGTAGTGTGGGAATCGGGGAAAACGGTGAACGTCTGGACGAGTCCGAGGCTGCGGCTCTAATTCGAGGCTTGTGCGCAAACGCACGAACGCGTGGGCGAATCACAGCTGGATGAGGAAATGTTCCGTGCGCTAGATGACGGAAGAGGCCCTTCAGGACCCCTGACTATCGATACGGCTAGGTCAAGCCGCGACCCTTGATGGACTGCCGCCGACCATGATGGCGAATAGGTGAGTGCACGGCAAGCTATCGATGTCGAAAAGTGACAGTTGCAAAGGCGCGCTTAGGCGGGTTTTGCCCCACATGGCACCACTACCAAGAGGTAGGACCGACCGCTCACGTCTGATTGGAGGACAAAAGCTCTGGTGGAGTCAAATCCGACGTCGGTCTTGTATCGCATCTGTACCTCGCTGCACCTAAGGAAGCGACTTCAAGGACAGAGCCTACTTACCGCTGTATTCCCAGACCAGCAAAAGGACCTACCTCGGCCGTCCTTGTGCAAGCCGCCAGGTGACCTAACACGCCTTCATATCTTCCAGGGTCTCTCGAAGCAGAACAAGGTTTAATCGTCATTGCGTGCATACAGAGATATCGATAGCGGGAGACAAAGGTAACATCGCGGGTAGCATTGCCTGCAGGCAATGAGGTCCAAGGCCCGCTTCTCCATGGGTTCCTTTCTTTTTGATCATGCACACCTCTTCCCACGTGTCTGGATACGGATGACGCGGACACACCCACTGGCCCGGCTTGGATCCTGGTAGCAATGCCTACGCACGTGCGGTTAAGGATTGAAGCAGGCCATCGGTTCCAATTACACATCCGGAGTACCTTTGCGTTTTAACTGGAGATATACGAAGAGGCTTGCATGTCCTAGTACCCCATCAGGACGAGCTGGCAAGAAAAATCCTTCGTCCGGATATATCGTAGCTAGAGCCAGCGCTGCCATGGTACGTCTTGGCGTATACGATCGACTTCAAGTAGATTTACCGGATGTCGACCGGATGATAGCGAGTAGTCGAGGTATTTTTTCCATGTGCAAACGAGCTCAGACCGACTTTGTATCCGGGCACCGCTTGAGAAGCGACCGACTAGCGCGCACATAGCATCCGCATACGTGTACGCGGGGGGAAGATGGCGACTGGCAACCAATGTCTTTCTCCACCAGAATTCGAGATCCAGTCGAACATCTGTACAAATCGCGCCACATGACGCATCTCTTCTTGGTCGAGGTTGCTCGAGCGAGCAATCGCAGTCGTAGTGGTGTGCTGCGACTAAAGTCGCAACTCAGCTGTACTCTTGCATGATCTTATAGCCAATGGTCCTGCTTCTGTTTCCACGCAATATCTTTTAGTTGAAGTCATAATTCGACGTTGATTCTCCGGTCACATGCAAAACCAAACCAAGCCACTGAAAGACGAGACATTTGTGATCTTGCTTTGAGAGACCCCACGCCTATTCCTGATGTGGAAGTCTGCCGACCCGAGCCGTGTGTGGAGCCGCGCGGTTGACGCACTGTCGTACAACCTTCCTCAAAAGATGGCAGCTACTGCAATGTGAGTAGTACGCGGTGGGTGCATTGCATGCTGCAATACCGGAGCAACTCCCTAGGTACTACCCTGAAAATCATGCCGTTCGATGACCCGCTCAGTCACGCTAGTAACAAGTGTCGCGGGAGGCCTATCGATTGCAAATTCGAGCTTGCTGCTTTGCGATCATTGGCTCGGCC